GAAACTCACTGTTGAAGAGTATTATGATCGCCAGTCCAGGCATATTCTTGACACAATAGTTGAAACACTTTCCAAGGTTATTTTTCTTCTTGGCATTTATTTTAAATTGATTTCATTGATCAGAGTTTTTACCTTTAGATGTGATCGCGTTCTTATTTACGAGTTCGATTTCTTTCTGTTAACTGTTGGTTACTTCATGATCGATCTTAACTTCTTTGAGTATTGGGGAAATTTAACTTACCGGGCTTCTATTGTTGTTTTGCCTTCTGGCTTAACGATGTGAATTCCTGTTTAACGCTGAATTGTAGCATTTTCTGGGCAACTGGGAAGCAGAATAAATTCATTATCATTATTTATGTATTGTAACTTTGTCTTTAAACATTAAGTTTCTAGATTTAAATTTGATTGGTTAGACTTACATATTTGTAGGATAATCGTCGTAAATTTATATGGGAAGAGATGTCTTACTTGGAAAGATGGTGGAGGGATGCTTCAGATGTTAAAAAAGAATCCTTCATCAATTTAGTGCAGAATGGACAGTTGGAAATTGTCGGAGGTGGATGGGTGATGAATGATGAGGTAATACTTGTGCAGATTTTTTAAACATAGGCATAAATTCACACTTCTCTAATTTTTGTTGCATTTGCATGTTCTGTTTTGTCTATACTTTATCTAGGATGGCATTAAAGTGCAATTTTCTAGCTACTCATTTTTTGTTTCATCCATGACTTTGAAAGAGCACAAGTCAGGTTGCATTATTTGTACTTAATCTCTTGTACACGGTGTTCAAACCTCAAATGCTGTACTTTTCTCAACTCATAGAAAACTAATTTCACCTTGATAGTGTAATGAAATTCCTATAATGTTTGGTGGAAAATTGTTTTCTATTTTATCTTTATTTAACTATATTGGCTACTGATTTTTTTCATTCCTTTGTGCAGGCTAATTCACATTATTTTGCTATCATTGAACAGGTACAAGGGAACATATCTTTGGTCATTCTTGTAGTGCACGTATTTCATTTTCACCACCATTTAATAGTTCATACTATTGAATTGCCTTATCTCTTTAATAAATAGCTGTTTTCATCTGTGTTCCCATGACTATTTTTTATGAAATAGTATGAAAATCTTGAATATAAGGTAGCAGAGTAGGGAAAGCTACTTGGCCAATTTCTTTTGGAATGATAATGGCGATGCATTCTAAGTGTTTGTTATGCTTTTCTGAAGTTCTCTGGCCCATTGCTAGATTTCAAGCTCTGTGAAATGGTAGATTTTATATATTTAGGAGATATTTAATTTCTGCCATCTGATACTTCTAATAGGATCTAGTTTATCCATCTGGAACTTTGATGCACATATTTTGTGCATGCATGTCTGTGCAGTTACATACCGGTTCTTATAGTCTACCTACGCATATATTCATATAATTGTTGGAGCTTGTTGAAACGATTTGATTTGTATCACTTCTTCTCTAATTTTTCTGTATCTCATACCTCAGATTACAGAGGGAAATATGTGGTTAAATGAGACTGTTGGAGTAATCCCAAGAAATTCCTGGTCTATTGATCCGTTTGGGTATTCATCCACCATGGCTTATCTTCTCCGCCGGATGGGGTTTGAAAACATGCTTATACAGAGGACACATTACGAGTTGAAGAAGGAGCTGTCATGGCATAAAAATTTGGAGTATGTATGGCGACAGAGCTGGGATGCTGACGAAACAACCGATATTTTTGTCCACATGATGCCCTTCTATTCTTATGATATTCCACATACGTGTGGGCCAGAGCCTGCTGTTTGTTGTCAGTTTGATTTTGCTCGAATGCGTGGATTTGTTTATGAGCTCTGCCCCTGGGGAGAACATCCTGTGGAAACCAACCAGGAAAATGTGAAGGAGAGAGCATATAAATTATTGGATCAGTATAAAAAGAAATCAACACTTTACCGAACAAATACACTTCTTGTTCCACTTGGAGATGATTTCCGCTACATCAGCATTGATGAAGCAGAAGCCCAGTTCAGGAATTATCAGTTGTTGTTTGATTATATTAATTCTGACCCTAGCTTGAATGCTGAAGCTAATTTTGGGACTTTGGATGATTATTTCCGAACATTACGTGAGGAAGCTGACAGAATAAATTATTCACGTCCTGGCGAGATTGGCTCTGATCAGATTGGAGGCTTTCCTTCTCTATCGGGTGACTTCTTTACATACGCTGATAGAAATCAAGATTATTGGAGCGGCTATTATGTCTCCAGACCTTTCTTCAAGGCAGTGGACCGTGTATTGGAGCAAACACTCCGTGGCGCAGAAATGATGATGGCCTTTTTATTGGGATACTGCCAGAAACCACAATGCGAAAAGTTGCCTACTGGGTTTTCATACAAGTTGACAGCCGCTAGACGGAACTTAGCGTTATTTCAGCATCATGATGGTGTGACTGGTACAGGTAAGGATCATGTGGTTGAAGATTATGGGACACGGATGCATATGGCTTTACAAGACCTGCAAATTTTTATGTCTAAGGCTATTGAAGTTTTGCTTGGGATTCACCATGAGAAAAATGATCATAACCCAGCTCAGTTTGAACCGGCCCAACTAAGATCTAAATACAATGCTCAACCTGTGCATAGAGCAATCAGCTTGCATGAAGGAACTGTGCAAACTGTGGTCATCTTTAACCCTTTGGAGCAAATGTGTAACGAGGTTGTGATGCTTGTTGTCGTAAGGCCTGATGTTACTGTTCTGGACTCGAACTGGACATGTGTCAAAAGCCAAATCTCTCCCGAACTGCATCATGACAAAAACAAGATGTTTACTGGAAAACATCGTGTCTATTGGAAAGCTTCTATTCCTGCTTTGGGATTGCAAACATATTATATCGCAAATGGATTTGTTGGATGTGAGAAGGCCAAACCGGCAAGACTGAGGGTTTTCACTCCGTCCAACGATCTATCTTGTCCAGCTCCATATACTTGTACCAAATTAGAAAGTGACACGGTTGAAATCAGGAACCAACGCCAGACACTCACATTTAGAGTAAATCATGGTGTATTGCAGAAAATTAGTAGTGATGGTCACGTGTATGTTGTGGATGAAGAAATAGGAATGTACTCTAGTACTGAGAGTGGAGCATACCTATTTAAACCAAATGGCGAGGCTGAGTCTATTATTCAAGCTGCAGGGCAAATTGTGGTTTCAGAGGGCCACTTGGTGCAGGAAGTTCACTCTTACCCAAAAACAGCATGGGAGACATCTCCCATCTCTCATAGCACCCGTATTTATAATGGTGAAAATACGGTACAGGAATTTGTGATTGAGAAGGAGTATCATGTTGAGCTTCTTGGGAATGATTTCAATGATAAAGAATTGATAGCTAGATACAAGACTAATATTGATAACAGGAGAGTCTTTTACTCGGATCTAAATGGATTCCAAATGAGCCGGAGAGAAACTTATGATAAGATCCCTCTGCAAGGAAATTACTATCCGATGCCCTCCCTCGCATTTATGCAAAACCCAAATGGACAACGCTTCTCCATTCACACACGGCAGTCCTTAGGTGTGGCTAGCTTAAAAAATGGGTGGTTGGAGATCATGCTTGATCGTCGACTGGTGAGGGATGATGGCCGTGGTCTAGGCCAAGGAGTGATGGATAACCGTCCTATGAATGTACTTTTCCATATCCTCGTGGAGTCGAACATTTCATCGTCTGCAAATCTAACTCCAAATCCTTCTCCTCGGAGTCCTTCTCTACTCTCTCATCTTGTTGGTGCTCACTTGAACTATCCATTAAATGTATTCATTGCTAAGAAACCTCAAGAAATATCCGTACAACCACCTCCGAGATCCTTCTCTCCATTGGCAGCTTCCTTGCCATGTGATTTGCATGTCATGAGTTTTAAGGTTCCTCAGCCATTAAAATACTCCCAGCAGACAGTCGATGATTCCAGGTTTGTTCTTGTTTTGCATAGGCAACATTACGACCCCTCTTACTGTAGAAAGGGCAGGTCTCAGTGTTCGAATCTGGCTGACGAGCCAGTCAATTTGTTTGATATGTTCAAAGGGTTAGCAGTTTTGAATGCAAAACCAACCTCTCTGAATCTTTTACATGAAGACACTGATATGCTTGGGTATGATAGGCACTTTGGAGATGGTGCCCAGGAAGGGCATGTTCTTATTTCTCCCATGGAAATACAGGCTTACAAATTACAATTACGACCACATCAATGAATCCACCCCCTCAGCCCTCGTCTGTTATCTATCAGAACTTGAATCATATGCTGTAATATGACTACACTTCTAACCAAGTCAAAGCTCATGCAACTTGCTGTTCGCGGAATTTTGTAGAAACAGAGCATTGTCATAGGAAGTTTTTTCTGCTCTTCAATTTCTTGGAAAACGCTCGTCTAAATTGTTGTCGCTTCTGTCCTAGCATTTACGACGATGGCTGCCTTACTGGAAGATCTGTATTATTAGAAGTCTGTTAACTTCTGTTGAACTTTTTCCGACTATATTTTGCTTTGAGGTTTATAGGTTATGAAGATCAGATATGCTTTCCAGTTTGCGAAGGCCGTTCTTGATAAGGGGTTATACGTGTTTTCTTATTTTCTTTTCAGTTTTGCTTTCTTTACCTTTCTTCCCTGCGAATCCTTCCTTATGATCAAACTATGGATGCTCTAATAAAGCCACTGTTGATATTTTTGTGAAGTAAATATTTTGTTAAGAGCTGACGAGAATAAGGAGACACTAGCACATTAAAGATTTGCAATGACATTCAAATTCTTTGTCGTTAACTCCCAAATGGGGTGTTTCCCTGGCACTTCTCATGCATTTCCAGTTATAATATTTCACATTACAGATCAATTTTAATGCTTTTTTCACAATCTTTCTTTTTTAGTTTTTTGGCCTAAATGTTACTAGACAATTTAACTCAAGTCTGTTCATTGAAAGATGCATTGGTCAAGCAAACAGATGCTCTGTAGATAGTAAACTCATTTAAGCTCAGCCAAGTAAACTTTTTTAAGCTTAGGCAAACAAGCTCTTACTGACTAAAACGGTGCAGCCTCTTCTTAACAGGTCAATTAACCGTATCGAAATGTGAATCTTAGAGAAAATAAATGGTATATGAATTGACTTTTAACTCAAATATCTAGATGACATTGAGGCCTCCAGGATAGATGCTACAAATATCATAGAATGATCTCATCCTGTACGCTTTCGTTGAGTGACTTATTTGGAAGAACAATGCTGTTAATCACAACCACCTCGTCTTCAACAGTCACAGCCTCCCCTGCATCATAGCGTCAATATAAGACCATTCTAACAACTTTTTAATAAATAGCATAAAACCTCGAAAATCAGAGTGAAGTACCTAATATGGTTATTCCAAGCTTCTTGTTGTAGTCCCCATCAGCCTGAAACAATGGTTCAAATCTTGTTTAGTCATGAATGTGCTAACATGAATTTAACTTTAGCTTAGACATACATGGCATGTCTGGTAGAATGTACTATACAAGTTTGATCGGTATCAAGGAAGAATAAAAAAGCTTAATCTCGTTCAGTATATGTTGTGTCTAGTACTGCAAACCAAACTTGCACATTTATATTGATCTAGTTTTCTATTTCATGTTTGTTGAAAAATGAAGCTGGACGATGTCTTTATATATCCTTGAGTGTAATCAAGAAAAATCAGGCACAAAGTGATCAGAATATACTGATCTTGAATTTTTCACAACTGATAATGTCTTTGCTAAGCTAGGTGATTATGACGTGAAACTTAATTTAAAACAATATATCCATCAGTTGGCCTCAAAGATTATAAACTAAATTTGTGTACTTCAGGTTATATGCCTTTTGGATGGCTCTAAATTTATCAGAAATTTCGTTAAGGAAGCACAACATTCCCAACAATCCTATAAATTTAGCAACCAATAGAGAAATCTTCGACAATAAAAGGAGTTGAAAATTTAAAGCTAGCCACGGTGATTTTGGTAAAAAGAGCTCTACAGCATAAAGATTATAGAGAATAATTTATCAGAAAAATATAATCATACTCGTAAACAAACTTAGGCTGCTAATTTAGGTGCTGACAAATTTACCTGAACGCGAGACCATTTCCCGATAGATGACTTCCACCCCACAATAGAATGCATTACAACAGCATTTTCCTGGGCAATTATACAATAATGTTATGACGAGTTTATTTAAACCACATCATGAGCAGTTCAGCACTCACATCAATTTCTACATCATCTAAGATGATGCAATTTATAAGTCGTACACCAGGTGCAACACGGACATTTGCTGATATCGAAACGTTGGGTCCAATCTGTTCGCACAGCAACAGCGAAATTAGTAATAATGGTAGGGAGGCATACAGCTGTAATAATTTCCGTCTGAAAGTTTATGAAGAGTCATTGTTCATGAAAAAAGTTGACAAAGAATTTATTCTCTAAAATGATGTAAATTAATTCATTCCCAACATTTAATACAAATAAGAAAAGTTTCCTCTCAAGTCTCAAGCATATATATGTCTAGAAAGAAGTTACTTTTAGGTTCATTCTTGCCATATTTAATTTTTAAAGTTACCTCATTGACTAACTAACTTAAGTTTCTAAAAAATTAACTTTTAAGCTTAGTCAAACATGCTCAAAATTGGTATCCTACACAAGAGGAATTACTGAAAACTGGAAATTTTTGAAATGTGCTTAAATGTCTATAGGGAAGATGGACAGCTTGGGCGACAAATGAAAGGGCCTGATGAAATTCTGAAGTGAAACATAACTGAGAAATACATTAACAGGAGATGACCTTCGCGGTTGGGTGTACTTTTGCTGATGGATGAATACAGACATCGCCAACAACCGTGGCATTCTTTGTGCCATCTCCTTTGGCCAGGAGATCTGGAGAGGCAATTCGGAATTGAGCAAGGTACAAAGCAGAACATTTAATAGAGATTCTGAAAAGTAAGATGCAAATTCAAATAAGATGGTCAAAACTTCTTGGCACAAGAAAGAAGAGGCATGGATATCTAGTAAAATTACTTCACCCTGGAGTCTTGATCTGTTCCCAGAAGTCCATGGTCTCGTATGTATATAATTGCTTCTTTCCAGCAAGAGGTGACAGGATATCTTGGTCCAATCTGACAAAATCTGTAGGAGGAGACCTATATGAAAGATAAAATCAACATGGGGATTGACACAAAGTATCTTTTCAACTCTCAATTCATGTTTTACTTAAAAAAACAAAAAAAACAAAAACAAAGCACTGCTCTGGACCCAATTTGAACAATTTGATGGCTGAGATCTATCTTGTTCAAAAAGAGTGAGTGCCATGCAATGGAGTTTTAATCCTCTCTGAATTTGATCCAGATATCCCCAGCCACATATGTTTACAGTCATGTGAACTCTTATTCTTCTATGCTGTAGCAATAGATACATGGTACTCCCATACTTGTTCTTCTAATATGTTCAAATAACCAGAATAGCCAACAAAGAAAAATGACAAGACTCGATACCTTGCCGTGATCTGAAGTGCTTCAAAACTGGTTACATGATGCACATTAGCTGCAACAACAAAATAAATTCTAAATATCAACATGGAGTGCCTACCCATGATGACATTAAAAATGCTTGATGGGTGCATAACTGTTCAAGTCAATGGAAAAGGCAGAAGAACTTCATTATAGAAGTTTGAAGTTTAAATGCTAAACATCCAGCAAGTTCTCAGAATACGTTTGGTTTTCCATTATACTATCCACGGCCAAGAAATAAATTTAACAGCTTTGAAATATCCTATAAAGGTCAACTTACAGATCATGCTCATATTAAACATTTTTCAGTTCAATAATTTAATTAAGCATATGCAAATGGTGGTAGAAGACACATTCATATTCTAAAAATGCAGTACTTTGAACTAAAGTAAACTCAGCTCTAAAAATGATAGATGGTTGTCAGATAAGAATTGGGGAGTGTACGTCAAGAAAATATAATATTAATGTCACTATGACCAAATATGCCACTCCTCCGAATAAAAGAAAAAAGCCACTGTTCCTAAATTAAGTAATGGACAACTAGATTTCAATATGAATATTATTTGAAAGAACTGGGGAATGTATGTCAAGAAAATATAATATTAATGTCACTATGACCAAACATGCCATTCCTCCGAATTAAAAAAAAAAAAAAAGCCACTCTTCCTAATTTAAGCAATGGATAACTAGATTTCAATACGAATATTATTTGAAAGATTTAAACTAAAAGTTTTCGTTTACTTTGTCATAGATACTGCAGCTAGTGTCTTATAAAAGACAAACAAGTTTATATAAAGGATAAGATATGACCTTGCATTCTCGGATGTATGTGTTACTTGGTCCAAAGGACTACTATAGCTTAGTCCTTGATGTCATTAAATGGACAAAACAAATGGCAAATTCATTGATTTGCTGATCTTAATTCTAATGCCTTACTCTCTTCTGCATTTTACTTGAATAAAACAGAAAGAATCACGATCAGATACTTTTTGTGCCACCAAGTCACATTGTCATGAATGCTCCAATCTCTCTTCCCACCCAAGAAAAGGGAAATAAGTCACAACAACTACGTTTAGTTGACTATCTAATACTTAATATCTTGGGAAACACAAACAAAATTAACCATTTTTTTTAACAATTACCTTCCAAAGTTATTCCATAGAAATCTGTATCCATAGCCTGAATGCCACTATTCAATGTGTTACATCTAAAGCAAAACAGGCACGTAAAACTTAATTTCTCTCTTTAGGAACTGGATTAGGTTGAATATCTTCTTTGCTTCACTCTTACATTAGACATCTTTGCATTTTTCTCAAATGAACAAGGAAATATTAACTTCCCAAAGCATTTCCAACATCCAAATTAGCTAAAGCAAAATAATTATTTCTTATTCACGAAGTCGAATTCAAAGATTAAGTTGATTGCTAGTTGCAAATATAATAGTCATCACTCACTGCCTTCATCTTTAACCTCGTATTCCAATCAAGGTAATTCTTTATCTGAAAACATTTCATGAACGACATCAATTATCAGATTTAAAAATTTGTATGCTCATAAGATTCTTATAGCAATCATTAAATCAGTGGTGGATTCAAAATTCAGGTTTAAGGGCAGAAAAATATATTATGGAGCATATTTTAAAGGAAGCCACCCATGAATTCTGACAAATCTGTCTACACTAGGAAGGAAAAATTCAAATTTTTTTAAGGGTGTTAGGAAATTGGTGAAACACTGAGAAACAGGCACTTGTCTGCCTTCCTTAGATTTACCGGCACATAAATTTTCTACCTCCATAGTCTTTTCAGTTTTCAGAAATATTTTCTTTTGAGTTGTCCATATGATGAACTGATTCTATATATGTTTAATATATAACATAACATACATTTCATCAGTTATCAATACTATGAACTCGCTATGTAAAGTAAAATAATTATCCTACTGCATATGAAAATTCTGTGCCACAAATTATGTGTGTTTGAGCTACATTATTTTGAAAGAATGCATTTTGAAATAGTAGATTGATGAAAAATGTGTGGTTAAAAAATGAGGAAACGTTTTGGATTTGCGTGTAATTATTTTACTGAAGAATGTGTGGCTGAAATGATATCAAATCACTATTTAATAATGTATTTTTCAGTGTTCTCTCTCGAGGCTTCAAGTTCCGACAATATTGGTGGCGTCTTCTCCCGCGGTTTCTGGTGGTCTCTGCTGTCGGTGGCTTGGGTCACTATCGTTCTTCATCCGGTCCAGTGTTTGTGACGATGAGACGTGTTTTTTGGGTTTCCAATGAATTTTATTTGTTTAAGGCTGGTATTTACCTATTGGGCTTTAAGTGGTTGGGCCTTCTTTTGGTTTCATTTTGTTTATTTGGGCTCTCGTCAGGTTGGATATTTATTTAAGTCAAATTTTATTTGGATAATTGGTTCCGTCACGTCATTGGATAAATTAGAATCATCCCTCATTTGTTTTAATGGTAAAAACTACTCAACTTGGGAATTTCAATATCAATTATTTGTCAAAGGAAAAGAGTTGTGGGGTCATCTTGATGGTAGTGATCCCGCCCCTAAAGATGTAGAGGCTTTGTCCAAATGGGAAATTAAAGATGTTCGGGTTATGACCTGGATCCTCAGTTCGGTAGAACCTCACCTTGTTCTCAATCTAAGGCCTTACAAAACTACTGCTGATATGTGGGATTACCTTAGTAAGGTTTACAAGCAGGACAACACGGCCCGTCGATTTCAATTGGAATATAAGTTGGCTAACTTTGCACAGGGGAGTCTTTCCATTGAGGGGTATTTTTCTGGTTTTCAAAATCTTTAGGCTGAATATTCAGACATTGTTTATGCTAATTTTCCCATTGCAGCTCTATCTGTTGTTCAAACAGTGCATGAGACAAGCAAGAGAGATCAATTCTTGATGAAGCTAAGTCTTGATTTTGAGGTTGCACGCTCTAATATGATGAATCGCCATCCTGTACCATCTCTAGATATTTGTTTAGGCGAACTCCTTCGTGAGGAGTAACATATTGTAACTCATGCTGCCATGGAACATATGGCTACTATTAGCACTCCTATTACTGTAGTTTATGCAGGAAAAGGAAGGAAAAAAGGTCGGGACATGCATGTTGTCCAGTGCTATAACTGTAAAGCCTTTGGTCATATTGCTCGGGATTGTCCTAAGAAATACTGTAACTATTGCAAGAAACAAAGTCATCACATCTCTGTTTGTCCCATTCGCCCTGAAAGAAAGCATACCACTGCATATCATACCTCCACTAGTGTTTCTAGCTCCGCTGCATTGCATGTTGCCTCACGAGTGGTTCCTAATCCGCTTCCACTACCTCCGCAAATCCGTCCACTCACTCCTGAAATGGTACAACAGATGATCAATTCTACTTTTTCTGCTTTAGGATCCTCAGGTAACCATACAGTTTCTTCTAAGCCATAGTTCTTTGACTCTAGCGCCTCCATATGACTAATACTGTTACTCCTCTTTCCAATATTAGAGAGTGATAGCAATTTAAACATTCACACCACTGATGGCAATTCTTTGCCTATCAATGCTGTTGGTGATCTTTCCTCTTACTTGACTAATGTTTTTGTGTCTCCTAACCTCTCTATAAATTTAATTTATGTTGGTCAATTGGTTGATCATAATTTTGATGTTCATTTCTCTCGTTCTGATTGTGTTGTGCGAGATCCAATGTCCAGAGAGATGATCGCGTAGGGGCCTAAAGTGGGATGTCTATTTCCCTTGGATATTTCTCCTTCCCCAATTCCCCCTCGTTCTCCTTTACTTTCTTTTGCATGTACTGGTGTTAGTCCTGGAACTCGGATGTACTTTGTACTTTATTTAATTCTGGTTTATTGAAAAATAAATGAAATTCTTCTCTTGATCTTTCTTTTGATTGTACTGCATGCAAAATTAATAAAAGTAAAGTTCTACCTTTTCCTCTCATGGATCTCATGCCTCACAATGTTTCGATATTATTCATAATGATATTTGAGAGATTTCATTTTATATTTCTCACGCAGGTTATAAGTAGTGTGAATATAATTACCCAATAATTGAATATCAATGCATAAAATAGAAACTCAAAAAATTTCAGCTTCTCCGCATCCATCCACTTAACTCACTGTTTTTTAGTTGATTCTTTACATAAAAGTCAATAGTCAAATAAGATAGTATATATAATGCAACTAACCTCTGTCTTCCTGGCGCATATATACATCCTCGATGGCGTCAAAAATTTTAGGAGTGAAGACGTAAACACCACAGTTTATCAGATCACTAACCTGTATTCCATGAGAAATAGGACCATAAATATGAAGCAAAGAAAAGCACGGGTCAAGTTTTATAAAAAAAGCAAAATTTATTCTTTACTCGTGATGCATACAAAGGTCTCAGGTTTTTCGGTGTAGTGCAACAGTTCCTTGGAAATTGGATCTGCAACCAACTCTCCAAACTGGTTGGCTGATTCAGCAGAAACCTGCATATGAAGTTTATTTATTAAGGGAGATCCTTGCATAACAAATTTGTTTTCTCAAACCCTTCCCTGATGATGAACAAATTATAAATAAAATTAAGTTTTCTAGAAACAACAACCAGTTCATGGCGAAAGAACAGAGCACCATCCACATCAACCTATTCTCCAGCAAAATTATGACAGCTTAAATAGTTTATACAACAGAACTTGCCTTAATAACTAGCAGTGTGCCCATCCCACCATACCTTTTATGGGCATCTGCAAACAACAAAAACAAAGAGAATATATAGAATCTCTGAAAATGAAATTGGGAAAACAAAGACAACCATAAAAGGGATGCTTTTGTCTTTTTCTCCTCGAAGTTATAAAATAATAACAGCAAAAGATTCATGAATTAGATGACCAATGAATTTGATGCTTACCCAGCATGTTTGGCAGTGGAAAATTGCAGCAGACATCACAATTCAGCAGAAAAATATGTGACTATGATGAACCAGAAACAGAAAAATTCATTTAGGAAGAGGTAATAGAGAAAGGATGGTGCAATGCATGCACAGAGAAATAATATAACTTATTGCAAAAAATTCTTCGTGTAGAAACAAGAAAGAAAATCCATGTCATCATTTTCTGAAATACAAAATGCTCGACTCAGAGATCAATTCTAAGTAGTGGTAAATTGCTTAGTTTACCAACAGAATTCTGTGTGCTTCAGTGTGTGCGCCTCAGTTGGGGAACTGAGCTACGAAGGAGTTATATAGCAGAGATAAAATGC